GCTCATCACCATCACATTCACATACATTGAGCAATGAATCTTCTTCCTCCTCTCACACTTGTTCACTGCCGCTATTTTCACCATTCTTGAGGATATTGAATTTGCAGAGAGGGCAAGTCGCGTTGATCCTTAGCCATTTGTCTACGCATAAACTGTGGAAAAGGTGTCCACAAGGAAGTTCCCTTAGTTCTACTCCGTCTTCATATGCACATAGACATATGCTGCATTCCTGCAACGGTTTTATTCGATTTTGACAGATCATTTCAGTGACTTTATCCAAAACTCGATGGAAAAACAGTGTTTGGTTTTGGTTACTTACAGCATCTTCGCTAGATATCACGCGTTCTGTTTGAGAATCAACGCCTACTTCAGTCATTATCCCTCCTTGAGTTTCCCGGATTTCGCCATTCACTTTCTCAGAATTCTTTGCCGTGAGAAACTTGAATTTTGAAAGCCTTTCTATTTCCTCATCCGGCGCACCTTCCTGAATAACAATTAAAACATTTGAAACCAGAAACAGAGTTTTAAAATTGGTTACGAGGAGGCATCAAGAAACATGGGGTTCAATTTTGTCTTTCATTCTCTAGTGTTTCTTTACCTGATCTGCTAGCGCGTACAAGATCGCGATGATGCAAGGTAAGCAGCAACAAACAGCAATACCGATTAGACTAGCAACCGCAACGCAAATGACAACGAATATAACATCAAAGGCAAGGAATGCAACACAAAGCCTGCAAATATACAATAAACAAAGATTTGATCAAAGAAACAATCTTTTGAGAAGATAAAGCACAAGTGGAAGAACAATCAAGTACTGTAAACAAACCAGTAGAGTTGAGGCGAAGATTGAGCAAGAGCCTCGGTATCACCTGTGACCCAGTAAAACCCGATGATCCACCAGACAAAAGAGAACATCGTATTCGCGGATTCGAGGTGCTTGGCGAAACTGGAATAGCGAAAAACAAGAGCATAAATCAATGAAAAAACAGTAAATTCACTTCTACATTTGTATACCAAATCCTAAAGATTCCTTCAACCTAAAATGCTTCTAAATCTAACTGAGTAAGAGTCTATCACTAAAACTGAAGCATCAATGAAACTAAAGATTCTGTTGCAAAAACCAAAAAAGCAAGACAATTCTGCGAAATTGAGGTTTCAGAGATCAATCAAATAGAGAATTTGACCTAGTTCGATGATCATCATCAGCTTCGTCGATGCCATAACCACCATCAGATTCGTCTTCACTTCCACTAAGAGATCCATGATTCGATGAATCTTCTTCACTAAGAGGAGAATTAGCTTCTCTGCGTCGTCTATACTCAGCGATTACACATCCAACGTGAAACAAACACTGGAAATTATATCCAATTATCCACAACCTAAGAGGAACATCAGGTTTTTCTTCAGAACTAAACCCTAGAATCGCAATCGACACAATCACAAAGACGAAATTCCATAGTATATCGAGAACTATAATCGGTTTCGAGTAAGCCCATTCACTCTGTCTCTCCTCAAGCTGCTCAGCCGCCACCTCACGGACTCGAACGGAAGGTTCACGGAGCATCATCCGACGGTTGCTAGCGCGACGGAGAAGCCTCGCCGCTGCTCCTCGAAGCGGCTGAGATGAACGAGGAAGGTTACGCCTGCTCCGGCTTAGAAGCGGCGAAACGTCCATCGTCGGAGAAGAAGAAGCTGGTACAGAGATCGGTGGATTCATCGAACAGAAAAACCTCAGAATCTAACGAAGAAGATTGGACCTTGGGTAATCGGGTTGATCCGGAATCGTCTGATTCGTGATGGGTCGGGTTTGAATTCGCAGGAAATCTGCCGACTTTGTGTGTGGATGATTCTAGGTTTTTGAGGACCAGTTTCTGAAGCTAATGAAAACGACGAGAGAATGTCTCCATTAACGTGTTTTTGATCGGATAAATATTCCTCTTTTTTTTTTTAATTAATGATAATTATGCTTTAATTAATTATTATAAATCTCCTCACAAATAAGAACATGCGTTACTGTTGGTAAAGTATAATTATGCATTTATGCTTAATTCGTACATTAATGTTCCAATGATAATTTTCGATAATCTCCTCACAACTTTTTATTTGTTTTCAAATTTAATTAATTTCTAGATATCGATTTGTGTTTGTTTCTTTGACCTTTTTCGAGTTTATGGCATCTACTTAATTAGTAGTAGATTTGTTTCTACTTTTAATCT